AGCCAGAAGAGTGAACAGGCTGTTCACAAGACAACCTGCGAAGGTGTACGCTCAGTGGCAGGGTAACACGGGAGCAGACCCTTGGTCTTTTTACACCAAGTACCACCTCAGAAAATACTTGCCTCCCCAAGAACCTCCACAAATAACCAACACTACACAGTAGTGTAGTAAGCCTAAGTATTCATCAAAAACAAGGCAGAGGTTTAATTCCTGAAGAAGTATATTTAATATTGTCAGCCAACAAACATTTCAACATTACACAGTTTCAACAGTAAGACTGTGCTTAAATATAGGGGGAAAAAACTAAAAACTGTACTTAAATAATGATTCAATTAAAATGTTCAATTCATTACGAACTGCAAAGCCTTGACTCACTGTGAATGATGATCTGGAGTTGGACGGCTTTCTTTGTCCACCAGAAGGTTTGGACACTGGTGCACTTCTGCACACAAAGACATGTTGGTTCATATGTTCATATCTGTTCCGTTTGCCCGCACAGAACTGGGAAAAAATCTTTTGTTGATGTTGCTTCTACATGGAACATGTTGCAAAAAGACTGATAATGAACTTCATTGTATGCTTTTAGATCCAGAGTGAGAGCACTTGAGACATCCTCATTGAAATGTAACTGTTTTTATAATCCGTAATTTTATGAATATGTATGTGACTGTTTTATAATCTCTATGTAACTGTTTTATAATCTGTAATTGTATGTAGCTTTTGTCAAGGTCTCCCTTGAGAAAGAAGTTCTTAATCTCAATGGGATTTTCCTGGTAAAGTACAGGTTTAATTAAACCTGTATAAGGCCTACATGGAACGCCATAACCAAGTGGCTGGCATAGTGTACAGAAACATCTGTGCAGAGTATGGGCTGGAAACCCAAGGTCTAAGTGGGAAACTCCTCCAAGGTGGTCGAGAATGAGCGTGCAAAGATTCTGTGGGACTAGATACAGACTGAACGAATGGTAATGGCAAACCAACCTGACATTGTGGTGGTAGACAAAGGGGAGAGGAAAACCGTGGTGGTGGACGTGGCAATTCTAAGCGATGGTAACATCAGGAAAAATGAACACGAAAAGCTTGAGAAATACCAAGGTCTTAGAGAGGAGCTGGAGAGGGCCTGGAGGGTAAAGGTGACAGTAGTGCCCGTGGTGATCGGTGCACTCGGGTCAGTGACCCTGAAGCTGGAGGAGTGGTCACAGCGGATCCCTGGAACAACCTCGGAAATTTTGGTCCAGAAATGTGTAGTGCTAGGAACAGCAAAGACACTGCACAGATCCCTCAAGCTTCCAGGCCTCTGGAAGAGGACCCGAGCTTAGCGAGGGATAACCGCCCGCAGAGGGCAAGAGGTGGGATTTTTATATATATATATATATATATACATTTATTATAATGTAATATGGATGTAAAAAATGTCCCCACTGAGGGATTATCTTATCTTAAAATCAATGTTAAAACCGCAACATGTCCTCTTTAAAAATACTTAGGCACAACCTCAAACTAGTGCAGCCTTCTGTGTATCCTACAGAGTAAACACACCTATTCTAATGGCATGTTTGCAGACATTTCATAACTAAACATTCATGTAGTAGCCCAGATCAGTTCAAACAACAGGTTTCTTTAGTTCAAGTAGCATTGTAACTTATGAAAGAGGTGTTGCAATCATATCTCTCACTCCTAGAGAGAGGATACACTTGACCCTCCCCCTCCCGTCCTGGACAGTATAGACAAGGCCCCAAGCTTCTCTGTTTAATGAACTCATGCATTTTAATACCGATGATGTGTTAGCAGTATAGACCCATGAGGACATCTAATTTTAGGCCTGGCATCATCAAAGCGCCATTTTCCAGGCTGTGTTTGCAAGATACTACCACTGTAGGACATGTGCTGGCAGATTTAAGTGAAGAAATAGGGCTTCATTGCATTGAAGTTATGCACACATGCATTAAAGAGATGCATGTAGGGTATTGGCTAACAGTTGCAGAGATACATGTGAGTGACCCAACAATTAATATTGTCAAATTATAAGAATTGTGATAATATTCAAAGTTATCCAACCAGTTTAATTCAAGGTATAATGTTGTTAAAGATGAATGTTTATTAAACTTTGTTAATGTAATATGTAATATGTATATATCTATACAAATCTTGATATTTCATCCAAGAGCAAGCTCACCTGTCAGCAAGTACAGTATTTTATTTATTCTTTCTCTTTTTAAATTGGGTTAAGTAAATGTATGGGCATTTAATTATTTATTTTTTACCAAAAAATATAACATTTGATGATGTTATGAAATTTATCCCTGCCCGGCCAAAAGTCAATCCAATCAGTAAGTAAGTTTTTATTTTTATTTATTTATATACCGCCTTTTCACTGCAGATCAGAGTCTCAAAGCGGTTTACAATTGTTAATTATGGGCATTTGTCTCTCACTCCACACAGAGATGGGAGCGGGGCCAGTACAGGAGGCGCATGCTAGAACTATTGGACATATTTTTAGTGGTAGGGGAAACCGGAGTACCCGGAGGAAACCTACGCAGACACGGGGAGAACATGCAAACTCCACTCAGAAATGCCCTGGTCCGACCGGGATTCAAACCCAGGACCTTCTTGTTGAGAGGCGAGAGTGCTATCCACTCAGCCACCGTGCCGACTTGTATCAGAATACAAGTCGTTCTCCACCAACCTACAGTATATTCTGAATGGATCATCTTTTGTCCGTGGTAACTTGACATGTGAAGCTGTTCTAGCAAATACTTGATCTTTTCTGGATCACTGGAAAAAAAAAAAGAGAAATACAGGTTGTAAATTTCTCCTGTGTGAGATCACTAAAGTCTATCTTATCTTAAAATCACTTTCCTTCACCATCCAGGGCCTCCTCATTCAACTGTCAGCTCTTTACAGTCGCAAGGTGCCGAGAGCTCAAATGTCTTGGACCAACAAGTCTCATGGGTCAGATCTATTGGATCCCTATTGACCCCTAGCTGATTTTTTGTTAGAGCAACTCACATACATTTTTGTTTGACTCTGTCTACCTGAAAGATAGGAACTCAATTTGCTGAATAATTACAGACCAATATCAAAATGACCAATTCTTTAAATTATTTTGGAAGTAAAAAAAACATAACAAACAAGAAACTTAAATCTTGGTCCAGTCTTTGGGACCAATCTCAAAAGGATAACATGAAATTACACTTGATCTGCCTGTGAGTGAGTGCCACAGGGATCTATGTTGGGGCCACTTCTTTTTTACAGTGGAACAGATGTCATTTTATGAAGACGACATGGTAATCAATTGTTCCCTGTAAAATGCTGTCAATGTTGTTTGCCACAGCTTTTATGAAACCAAACTGATGTTTTTTTCTATTGATGAAAAACAAATGGAGTGTCCATTCAATATTGTACTCCTACAAACTGGAATTTCTTACGCAATAATATTAAACTCCAACATCTTGAACAAATAGAACATTTTGGCACTTCTGAAAGACCTGGAAATGCAATCAATTACATCATTCAATGACATTGTATGTTATTATATACCATGCTTTCTGGACTTTTAGGCGTACCTGCATTTCAGCCGCACCAGCAACATTTTAAAATAATGTAGTGTGCACTTGTATGTATGCCACAGGTTTTCATGTTGTAATGTAGCAGATAGACGACACTACATTATATAACTGATCATAATCGTTGGCTTACACCTGGTACTCATTCATTTGGCTTTGTGAAGCCTAGTGAAATGTATCAATTTAAGTTTTCCAGACTATTTAAAACAATATTTGACTCCTTTCCGATCAGTTTGTGCCACGCAAACCAATGTTTCTTTGTAGTCCCTAGAGTCAAAAAAGAAGTTGGAAAACATTCATTTAAATTTAAAGCTCTCTCTGACTGGAACAGTTTACCTTTATCCTTCCGTTCTCACTTCTGTTTCTCTGTTTAAAAATGCTCTGGTACAACACCTCCAGAACCATGTCAGTGTTATTGAGCAAAGGTAAGGAACCTAAATAGGTCTTTTATATTCAATGCACAATTCATATGCACAACTATAAATACTAGCTAATCACTGTTAATTAAAATAGACATTATATTCACAACAGTCAGTGTGTGTGTGAGTGTGTGTGTATGTGTGTCTTTTGTGTTTGTATTATTTTCTATGAATTATTTTATATTGTTTGCTCTACTGTCTGCCACTGCATCTGTCATTTTGCACAATTTTGAGGATCCCCTCAAAAACTATGATTCATCTCTATAGGGGATTATCCTACAACAAAAAGAAATAAAAAAAGGCTTCTTTGATTATGTATTTATTTGTTTTGTTTGAATTGATAGATGTGTTTCTGCTGCTACTGGACACCTGAATTTCTCCTTAAGGGGGATCAATACAGTATCTATCTATGATAAGTCTCCGCATTGCTATAAGCTGCAGAGTCTTTGGAACTAGAATAAAGTAGCGGCTCATGATATGATCATATGGAAATTGAGTAATCTCAATCGGATTTCCTTGGCTGAATAGATTTTTAACCGATCCTGTAACTTGCTTCAGCGAACTTTCATCATTGTATATCCAACTTTAACTAGCCAAACTATTCATTAACCTAATTGTGACTCTTAAAAAATGTATTTATCTTTTGCGGGGGTCGAAATGCAATGACTTTACTGAGTTCTGCTTGTTTATCCCCTCAAATTTAATATTGATTAGATTATGTTGTTAAGTATATTTCTATATATGAATATTCAATTGAAAAAAAAAAACAAAAAACAGATGTCTGCTTTTTGAGACTTTGTCAAAATCTTCATCTTTTGTTACTGGCCGTACATTTTAAATGATTTGCTCAAATAAGAATCAAACTTTATTTGTATGACACAAAAAGATTTTCCAAAAATGACTTGACGAAGGGAATTCATATGCATTTCATGTTTTCTTCCCCTAATGACACTAACCTGTTAGTGCAAACTAGTATTATACAGGTACGTATACGTGTTACTTCTAGCTTTATGAAATGGAAAGGTCTGTTTATTGCATGCCAGGTTCGCTCTTTAACTGGAAAGTTGTTGCACAAATGCGTGGTCCACTGCTGTTTCGTGCACTGATTATGTGAAAGGACCGCAAGGCGCAAATGGAGGTGTTCAGCAGGAAAACCACTGCGTCTTTATAGTAGTGTCAAACGAACGAATTAAGTGTTGGAGGCAAACTCTCCAGTACCCGCTCTAGCGCAGTTACCCAGGCTCAGTCCATCCATCCATCTATCTATCCATCCCGGGGTGCATAGGCGCGTGCACTCTTGCCACCGTGGTCCAGTCTCACGCGCACGAGCGGAGAGGGAGTAAGAGAGAGAAAGAGAGAGAGCGAGAGAGAGGGAAAGAGAGAGGGGGAGACACGTCGCAGCGGGTCCCGTACGCGGTGTGGGAAGCCTGGCGAAAGCGGCTATACTGTACCGTACAACCCAAACGAAGCCGGTGAGTGCGTGTGCGTGTGCGTGCGTGAGTCCAGCCGATCCATCTCCTCTCTTCGCCCGGGACAGGAATAATAACTGGATAACAACCGGGAGCTCTCTCTCATCGTGCGCGCAGATAGAGGCATGCGCGGGTTTGAGCCCCCACATATGCACCGCCAGCCCAGCACAGGAGTAGTGTGGAAGCAAAAATGAAGATTGGATTACAACAACTGTGATTATATTGTGTTGCTTTTTTTTCTTCGAAGCGGTGCCCTCCTGAAGTGTGAAAAGGGGGGATTTCATTCAGCTTTTTTTTATTACATTTTTGGACACGGTGGAAATAACTGACTGCGAGCGCTTCTTTTTTTATTTATTTTTTCCTCTTTCGTTGTGCAGCTCACAGGAGAAGCTGCATGCTTTCAGTCGGGAGAAGGGGGACAGTTGCGATGCCATCCAAAACCACTGCTTCGGAGCTCCACGGAAGGGAGATGCTGTAAGTACTTTGTCAGTCGTTATTCTATTTTTTTCATATTTTTTTGCGCTCGCATTATTTGGGGAGTGGACAAGATGCAGCACCGCGACCGTCGCCTCCATCCAAAGTCCAGCTTCGCCTCTGCGTAAATCCCAAATGCGCAGGTGGACTCTTCTTCGCACCTGTACATGCAGAATATCACACTACATAGATTTCCACACATGCAGCTCTTGCGTCAAGTGTTCTTCTTCAATGCGTAACCGCTGGTGCAGTGAGCAGAGCGCACGCACGCAGGCAAGCTTTCAAGCGCGCTACACCTCAACAGGGCAAACATTTTGGGATATTGGTGATATGCGCATGATGCCTGAAGACCCGAAAAAAACATTGTATTTGTTTTACGTGTTTGAAGGAGATAATGCCAAGACGATAGATGGGTGGCGTGAGAGAGAGGGAAAGAGGCTCATGATGCACAAGAAGCAAAAAAAAGGCTCAGATCTGATTCCACACGTTTTTTTTTGTAACCATTTGACCACGAGTTTTACGCTACATTACAGGGTTTTACGTCGCGTGTCTTGGGCACAACTTGCTGCTCTTTTCATCCCATTCCTGGAATAACAAGTCACTGCGCAAAGTCTCTCGTGGGAGCGCCGCTGCTGATGTATTCCGATAGAGAAGACGCTTTAGCTCAATATAATGTACGTCAGGTGCGTCATGGCAAGGGGAAGCTCTCTTTATGGGCTTTACTCTAAAAATACTAATGTTTGACTCAGCGCGCGGGGTGCCTCCTGGAGTAGTGGGGATAGAATAAGTCCGTGCGTGTACTTGCCTGTCCACTAGGGGTCGTACTTGCATTGTCTTGGTCACAATAAGTCTAATAGGGAGATCCAAATGAATTTCCACGTCAACCTCGCTCCCCCCTCCCTCCCTCTCTGCTCTCTGCTGCGCGCATGGATCAGTCACGTTGTGGTATCGCAGTTCTCTTCACCCTCCTCTACCCCCTGCGCGGTGTTAAGGCGTCAGCTGACGTCCACGTAAAGAACTTAAGAATACTGCAGAATATTACATACGGCCGGTGAACGTCACTAGAAGTGCACTGCAGCATGGCGATTTTTCAATTCAATCTATTTTTGTATAGCCATAAATTACTACAGCAGTCGCCTCGGAGGAGTTTACAAAGTTGTTGATTCCTCAACAACAGATCAGAGAATCAAAGAGTTCGATCCTAAGAAATGCAACAGTAACAAAGACATAGGAGCCATTGTCCATAAGAAGAGGGATAACCAACATGTTAATAAATGTGTCTAAATGTTCTGGGTCATCGCTTTCCTTAGACCCCTGCATCGGGAAGAGAAAACGTTTCCTACCCGAGAAGCTGAAGTGGGTTGATCAAATTGAATGCTGGGAACAACGCATCTAGTTTTCCTCCGATTGAGCTTCAAATCGAATCCATTTAAAAGCAGCATGCTGATTCTCCACTCTAATATTTAACAACTTAATTCAAACAAATCCAACCACATATAGTGTAAATGCACCCTGAAGTGTTGCTCTCATCTTAAGACAGAGTTATATAGTTATACATAGTCTCTGCATCATTTACCTATTTGCAAGACCATGTGTAATCAATTTGTTTGTTTAAACTCTGAGCAGGATGATCCCTAGGCTAATCTCTCCTGTTTTGACTGATTACATGAAGATCTTGTTTGTTATAAAGTCAACAACCACTCTCTAATTTGATTTACTGCGTCACAGCGACACAGGCAAAGTGATAGATATAATTGGCGAGATTGGGATGAGTTGATTTTAATTTGAAAACTATACTATTTTGGCATACTCTATAATACACGAGATATAGATAATAATAAAAAATGGCAGCTCAGTTCCCAATTATACACTCACAGTTGTTCATTTGATATTTCTGTCGTCACTGAGGCACTGCTGCTTTTTCGAAATGTGTACTCAAGAAGTCAAAATGGCAGTTCTATGGCTCGTAATGTACCCTATTTCTTACTGTAATTGCAGCCTATTCAAAGTAAAATAATGAATCATAATGCTTATTGTGTCTCGGGGAGCACAGCTAAGCAGGGGACCGGAGCAAAGTGACCAAATAACATCCATTATATAAGAAAATGAAAATGTTCCTACTTCTGCTCCCGCTTCACACGTACATGCACAGGGTATTTGTAGGGAGCTAAAGAGGCCTGTGTGCAGTGGGCAGACAACATGTTGAAGCCTGAGTGGTAACAGACCATTACTTCCACTGGGCTTCTCGTGGGCGCTCATGCACAAGCCGGGGCACACGCAGCAGATGGCCAGGGCCTGAGAGGGGATCCAAGAGTCCAGGGAAGAAGGGCTCAGAGGAGTGGAGAAGGCAAATGAGTGCAGGAATTTGTGAATAACTCTGTATTATATTGAGTGTAGGATGTCAAAATGTACAATGTTGAAACTCTCAGGTTAACAAGGTAGGGACTGGATTCGGTGTTGGATTCTCCCTCTGGGCAGGACTCGTCTGGCCAGCTGGAAATGTACACCTTGACCTCAAATAACTGAGAAACACTTTAGTTAAAATGTCTTCCATTCATCCCATACATTTATGTAAGACTTATGGTTGTTTAGGCTTTATGTCTTGAATTAGAATGATAAAAAATGGTTTTAAATTGCTCTGATCTGCCATACAAAATTTGGATAATGTACTTAATCTTTTAAAACTACCTTTTTACTTCAGTTTGTTACAGTAAGACATGACAAACCAAAGGCCATTTTGACTCAATTTGTGTTGACAAATTCTGTTCTCACGGGTGAAAGTCATGCAAAACACAAATCTCTTTTGACTTTTAAGAGGAAACCAATTTCACATAGTCCCTGTTGCGATAAAACGCCCCAGTAAATCATTGTAGTCTGCTGTGTCTGAATCATAACAAAATAATCCTGGCCTCTACTCCATTTGGGGACAAGTTAAAACACCCCCTGAGACATTCAAAGCGTTGTTAAAAAGGCATACAGTATTTGTCAAACTTGCGTCATGACGACTGGTGCACAAATTCTCATCTAATATATTTCTCATATTTTTTCAACTAATGTTTATCAAACAAACTCAGCTTAGTGACTTAAATAAACATTGTGTGGCTTCCAGAATTTTACAAGTTAAGGCATCGAACCATAGAACGTGTATTAGGCGTGGACTGACCGAGTGTTATAGTGTTATAGTGTTTGCCGAATACAGAAGAAGCTGATTTGAACCTAACCTAAGCTAGTTGGAGCCAATATCCTTATATGGGCATTTGTTCTGACGGGGCGAGCTTAGCACCGTTTTGGAGCTAGAGGAGTTTACTTTTCAATGTAGGTCAATAGGAGCTAGAGTTGGAGCATAACTTCGTCCGTTGGGCTTCATTGATAGTCGGTTAGTATTGTCTCAGTCTACTACAATCTACTATACATCAAACAGGTCTTTCTTCTTAATGAAGTGCTGGATGTTTTGCTAAAAATGACCACAATTAACAAAATTATAGATAGATAGATACTTCCCGTGGGAGGAATTTGGGTGTCCAGGAGCAGCAGAAACGCATGCATCCATTCAAACAAAACAAAAAAATAGATAATTCAAAAAGTGGCTAACAATAGTATCAAAATGCAACAACACTTTAGGTCACAGCAAATCAATGAATGGAGTGGCTGCCATATTAGCACTCAAAGATATTGAAATTAAATCACACGGCTGAGCCCCATGATGAGGAAGACGGGAATTTAATATTTTGGTGCCTACAGCTCTTCTTAACCAAAGTCAGCTTAATTATGCGTACTTTCCGGTTCATACAGGGAAGTGAGTGCGCTGTAATTGACCCATACTTGAATAGATGGATCCAATGTGGTACCTGTTTACTTTGATTGGAGACTACGTAGAAAACTAGGTGTCACAGTGATTTATATCTCCAAATTGTAAATGGTTTTGTGTCCTTAAGAGACTTTGCCAAACGTTGCAGAGTAGGAGTCTGGTGTGAGTGGCGTCAGTTGTGCTGCAGTTGTAGTTTTCCGCCACTGTTAGGAGTGAATGAATAATGCAACTGAAAGAGTGTCCAAAAAGCGTTATCTAAAAGCTATGGACTATTTTGGTCGGCCCATTCATATTTAGTGCACTTTGAGGAAGTACTTTTCATTGACATTTTGGCAAGTTTTGTAATAATGTGTAAAATGTCATCACATGTTGTTTTTAATGTTGCTTACAAGATTGTTTAGCCTCGATTTGAAAGATATTCTAAAATCAGTCAAAATGAAACCGCTGTGGGCTGTCGACATTAGATCACTAATGCCGTTTCATGTTTTTATTGCTCTCTTATTGCGGTGAGAAAGTGAGAAATAGGTTTGGAAGATTTCATATTGTTTTGAAAAATGAACTAGGTCAATTTTTCTCATTTGGTATTATCATTTACAGTTGGATCTTAGCAAACTCCAGCACTGTGCTCGATCTTGGCTGGGAATATCTGAAGCTGGAATTTGCCAGTTTTGCCTCGAGGGCATGTCATTGTAGCTTGTAGTTGTGCTACAATGGTAGAATGGGTAAAGGTGGAAAATATTCCATACACTTGCTTCCTTTGTGTCAAAACATATAAAACATATAACAACAAAACTCCCTAGCTATCATTCTAAACCATTCAATCCCCAGCTTTCTAAATAAATCATAGCTATAGTGTGTCTCGTACAGTGTGTTAATCCAATTTTAATGCCATTTAGAAATAGAGAAAGGAGGAGGAGGAGTACAGCTGTAAACGCAATAGTATTAATCATCATGTAAAGATAATGCTGTTGAATTATTGATGCTTGTGAAAGCTATTTTGTGCAAGCCTTCGTACGGTGGCATGCAGAGAAGGCCAGTGGCATCCATTTCAGATCTCGTGTTTTAGCTCGGAGAGATTTAGAGCTCGGAAGTGTTGAATAGGGGAGCATTCTCTTAAAGGGACGTGCATGGATGTGCCTGCCAAAGTGTCATACATTTTACATACGAGACTGCGGCAGCTTCGGGGAGTCCA